AAGTGTTCAAAATTTTCTTTTCGTAAGTTGAAATGTACCTAGGCTTTTTTTTTTTCCCCCAGAGTTCATGATGTATGACTTTGGTACAAAATTTGCAAATTACTATCTGTAATAATGCATCTTGTTCTGCATTTAAAGTTGCAGAATTATTTGAAATGGTTAAATTCAATATAAAGTAGAGAAAGCTCTAAAATTTAAGAAAAATACTTTTATCTGAAAAAAGATACTAGAATTAGTTTTGTATAAAAGAAATGTGTTTCTGTCTTATTCATTTTACTTATCATTAACCCCATATACCATAAATGACATAGTGTAAAATTATAAGCATGAACTGATGTCTTTTCTTTCACGTTTTTACTGGTATTTTCTTAACCGTGTTGAGGGCTTCCCTGGTGGCTCAGACATTGAAGAATCCGCCTGCAATGCATGAGACCCGAGTTTGATCCCTGTGTCAGAAAGATCTCCTGGAAAAAGGAATGGCACAGTCTTCTTGCCTGGAGAATTCTGTGGACAGAGGAACCTGGTGGACTACAGTCCATGGGTTGCTAAGAGTTGGACACAACTGAGCGACTAACACTTATGTTTAAGTCTAGTGCATGAGGGGATCGTATGACCTTTCTGCACTGAGTATGTATAATGTCTTTGGAATAGGAACAGAGCTGTTGTGTAAAAGTGTCTTTTCCTGGGTCTAGAAATGAATCTTAATTTTTGAGTTGGTATGAAGTCTTTTCTCAGAGCAGTCTTGTCTTTTATGGCACCTGCCTGGCTTATTAGCTAATGTGGTTTCCTGGCCATTCACAATATATCCAGATGTTTCAGTGAGTTCTTAAGTAGTATTTAGCCTTTTCCTGCTATACATAAAAATTAAGGTAGTGTAGAATACTTTTGAGCAGCAGTGTTCTGCTTTGCAACACTCTAGTAGGTCCTAGTAGTTTTTTCTAGTATTTTGTCTTGTCTTTGCTTTTCTAAAGAAAAAGCCCACACTGGCATCTAAAAATTTTTTGGAAATTCTGAATTTGACTTTTCTGTTGATAAGACTTTACTGACCTCTCGGTGAGAAATAAGCATTTTAAATTTCTTCACCCTGGTCCATTTCTGTTGAACAAATGTGTCATTGTACTAGGATCAGATACTCAAAGGTGAATAAGAAGCCATTCTCACCCTTGAAAAACTTATACTCTCGGCTCTTCATTCTATTTCCCAATAAAGAAAATGAAAGACAAGATTTACATAAGCATAAATTATTCCCCAACTTTTTTATGTAGTTCCTCAGACCTTTTGACCAGATGGCTTCCTGCCTAACCATGTTCAAGCTAGCTTCTTCCCATGTGTGTGAGGCGGAAGTGTTCCCAAGATGTTGGTTAGATTATACTCAGTTTCTGAATAGCTAGCCTGAAAGCAGAAATTGTTGAAAGTCTTTCATGCCCAAGCCTCTGGATACCACTTGTCTTTTAGAGTTCTCTACTTTTTACCTAAATGATGGCTTTTTGGAGTTTCATGTACAAAGCTTGCAATCTTACATGCTTTTCAAACTCTTATGGGAAGCCATTCATTTACAATGAAGAAAGTAGCTAAATTGTCAGGTAAGGTACTATAGCCACAAGTTCCCATCCCATTTACTGCAGTAAAAAATTCCCATCATCCAAGGCATTCTTTGAAAACTGTGGATTACTTCAGATCTTGTATTAAAAAAGTTACTGCAGCTTATATTACCGATCTGTTAGACCCTAGTGAATTTTGCTATAGCAACTGGCTTCCATAATCAGTTTGAAGGGTAATTTATTCTTACAATATGAGTAAATTGAGTTTTGTGGCTATATTATAACCTATCATTAGAACTATTAAATCCAATCCAAGCATAATGAAAATGGTTTCTTAAGACTTCTTCCTTTAAAAGTATATTAGATATACCGAGTCAGAATGGCTACAGATTTAGAATTTTGAGCAACAATTTGAAAGTCTTGGCAGTTTACCATGAACTTCACAAGTAGACTTCATAGCTGACTCTTAGAAGAATTGAAAAAGTGTGTCAGTTAGATTTTGTCTTATCTTCTAAAAGGAATACTAACATTTGAGGTGCTGCTCTCCATTTGGAATAACATATCAGAGAGTCTTTTCTGAAAGGTAGTTCCTGATCTTTTCTGAATAAAACTGTAGGGAGGAAAGAATAACTTCATAATTTATATTTTATTACCTAATGAACTGCTTGATTTATTAAATTCCTCAATGTCTAATTAGGATAGTTCTGAACCAAAATTCTAGTTATGGCATAGCATTTCTATTTATACAATGTTACTTAAGCACCATTTAAAAATTTTGTATGATGTCATAGGAGATTTTTATGTTATGTTTATAATTAAGTTAAAAATGAATCGACCTAAAACACTGAATTATGCTATTGTTGTTGTTCATTCACTAAGTTGTGTCCAACTCTTTGCGACCCATGAACTGCAGAATGCCAGGCTTCCCTGTTCTTCACTGTCTCCCTGCATTTGCTCAAATTCATGTGCATTGAGTCAATGTTGCCATGCAACCATCTCATCCTTTGTTGCCCCCTTCTCCTCTTGCCGTTCAGTCTTCCCCGGAATCATGGTCTTTTCCAGTGAGTCAGCTCTTTGCATCAGGTGGCCAAAGTGTTGGAGCTGCAGCATCAGTCCTTCCAATGAATATTCAGGACTGATTTCCTTTAGGATTGACTGGTTTGATCTTGCTGTCCAAGGGACTCTTAAGAGTCTTCTCCAGCACCACAGTTCAAAGTGTCAATTCATTAGTTCTCCGCTTTCTTTATGGTCCAACTCTCACATCCAAACACAACTAATGGAAAAACCATAGCTTTGAGTGTATGGAGCCTTATCAGCAAAATGTTGTCTATGCTTTTTAATACACTGTCTAGGTTTGTCATAGCTATTATTCCAAGGAGCAAGTGTCTTAATTTTGTGGCTGCAGTCACCATCTGCATTGATTTTGGAGCCCAAGAAAGTGAAATCTGACATGGTTTCCACATTTTCCCCATCTGTTTGCCATGAAGTGGTGGGACTGGATACCATGTTCTTTGTTTTTTGAATGTTGAATTTTAAACCAGCTTCTACACTCTCCTCTGTCACTTTCTTCAAAAGGCTCTTTAGTTCTTCACTTTCTGCCGTTAAAGTGATAGCATCTGTGTATCTGAGGTTGTTGAGATTTCTCCCTACAATCTTAACTACATCCAGCATTTTGCATGATGTACTGTGCTTATAAGTTAAATAAGCACGGTGACAATTTACAGCCTTGACATACTCCTTTCCCAGTTTGGAACCAGTCCATTGTTCCATGTCCAGTTCTAACTGTTGCTGGTTGTCCTGCATACAGGTTTCTCAGGAGGCAGGTAATATGGTCTGGTATTCTCATCTCATTAAGAATATTCCGCAGTTTGTTGTGATCCATAGTCAAAGGCTTTAGCGTAGTTAGTAAAGCAGAAGTAGATGGTTTTTTGGAATTCCCTTTTTCTGTGATCCAGCATATTTTGGCAATTTGATCTCTTGTTCCTCTGCCTTTTCTAAATGCAGCTTGTACATCTCGAAGTCCTCGGTTCACATACTGTTGATGCCTAGTTTGAAGAATGTAAAGCATAATCTTGCTGTCATGTGAAATGAGTGCAATTGTACGGTAATTTGAACATTCTTTGGCATTGCCTTTCTTTGGAATTGGGATGAAAGCTGACCTTTTCCAGTCCTGTGGCCATTGCTGAGTTTTCCAAATTTGCTGGCATAATGAGTGCAGCACTTAACAGCATCATCTTTTAAGATTTGAAATAGATCAGCTGGAATTCCATCACCTCCACTATCCTTGTTCATAGTAATGCTTCCTAAGGCCCACTTGACTTCACACTCCAGAATGTCTGACTCTAGGTGAGTGACCACATCATCGTGGTTATCTGGGTCATTAAGAGGTTTTCTGTACAGTTCTTCTGTGTATTTTTGCATTTTCTGAATCTCTTCTGCTTCTGTTAGGCCCTTGCCATTTTTATCATTTAATGTGCCTATCTTTATATGAAATATTCCCTTGGTATCTCTAGTTTTCTTAAAGAGATCCCTAGTCTTTCCCATTTTATTGTTTTCCTCTTATTTCTTTGCATTGGTCACTTAAGAAGGCTTTCTTATCTCTCCTTGCTGTTCTCTGGAACTCTCCATTCAGTTGGGTATATCTTTTCTCCTCTGCTTTTCATTTCTCTTCTTATCTCAGCTATTTGTAAGGCTTCCTTAGACAACCACTTTGACTTCTTGAATTTTTTTTTCTTGGGCATGATTTTGGTCATCACCTCCTGTTCAATGTTATGAACCTTCATTCATAGTTCTTCATACATTCTGTCTACCAGATCTAGTCCCTTGAATTTTTTCATTACCTCCACTGTATAATCATAAGCAATTTGATTTAGGTCATACCTGAATGAGCTTGTGGTTTTTCCTGCTTTCTTCAATTTGAGCCTGAATTTTATAATAAGGAGCTGATGATCTGAGCCACAGTTAGCTCCAGGTCTTGTTTTTCCTGACTATATAGAGCTTCTCCATCTTCAATTGCACAGAATAGAATCAGTCTGATTTTGGTACTGACAGTTCCTTAGTGGAATGCATACCAAACAAACTCTGAAAGAAGCTTGTAGAAGGATATATAATAAAATTATAATTATGTAAACATTGCCAGTAATTTTATTTACTTTTCTTTGTTTTTCTATGTTTTTTAGTTTTCTAAAATAAAACTAGATTAATCCTTTCCAGAGTAGAAAAATATTTGTGGTTTAGATTTTTTTTAATCAAGGATTAAGATTAAGTATTTCTCTGTAAATATCAGCTTTTCTTTATAAATTGATAGAATTTCCAGTGTCCTGAAATATCATTAAAATAAATAATAATTTCTTTAAATAACAGAGTTCTTGAAAGCAAAACACAGGAAGAAATTCAACTCATAATATAATGACAGTTTAAAATTAGGCTCATAACTAAAATTAGTTTATTCTTTTACAGGAGTTGAAACCTGATGTAGTAACTAAATCTGCTCTTGGTGAAGATATCAATTTTGAAAAAATCTGCAAAAAGGTACTTTTGCAGTAAGTTGTATTTCTTTCAGGAATAGTTCCGTATTTATATTCTTGACCTCATTTTTTCTTTTCACTTTTTTTCCTTGAATAAACCAGTTACTATTAGTGTATGATGATTTTTCCTATTTGAGATCTACTGTTGCTACCAAAAAATATTTTTATGATAATTAATGAATTTTACTTTATTCTTATATCACACCTCCAGGGACCTTAAAAGGTATGTTGAAGTTAATGTGGCATTTGTGTGCTAGACTGCAATTAGTCTGTTAACCTTATTATTTAGAACAAAGATTTTTTTATTTTTTCCAGATACTAGTTTTTATAAGCATTTAATCTCTGCATTTATTATATGGAAATTATTTCTACCCCCTTTTATAAGTAAGGAAAATGAAGCTCAGAAAGTAAGAAGTGAGCTAATTAAGAGTACACCACTGTTATGTTCACAGTTATTTACGTGGGCTTTTACCCAGATCTTCTGCCCCTTGCGTTTGCTACACTAGCTTCATTCTTGCTTTTCCCTCTTTTTTCATTTCTGCCCACTTTGCTGAAGCCTACATGACAGTTCCACCAGGGAACAGATTTTGAATTAATTGATTTTTGTAACTATTGAATTTCTGTTTTCACTTTTATTCACGTTTGCTTTAATCTGTATTATTTCTTCCTCTTGCATTTGTGTTTACTTTGCTCTTTCCTCTGGTTTCTTAATTTGGAAGCTTAAATTACTAATATAGACGTTTCTTTTTTTTCCTAATATAAACATTTAATGCAATAAAATTCCCTCTAAGCACTGCTTTAACTACATCTTATAAATATGACATGTTGTATTTTATTTTCTTTGATTTTAAAATGTTTTAAATTTCCCTTGAAATTTCACTTTTAACCTATGGTTTAATTAGATGGATATTGTTTAGTTTCTGAACAATTAGAGGATTTGGGGTACCTTTTTGTTTTCTTTATGATCCATGAGCATAGTTTTTATGATTGTTATTCTTTTAACTTTAGTATTTATGTTATTTGTTCAGAGTATGGCTTATCTTGGTGAATATTTCATGTGCACTTGAAAACAATATTATTATATTGAGATCAGTGTCCTGTAAATGTCATTTAGGTCAAACTGATTGATGGTGTTGTACAGATGATTTACAGCTTTACTGACTTTCTGCCTGTTTGTTTTATTGATTACTAGGAGAGATGTGTTGGAGTCTACAGCTATAAATGGCAGTTTTCCTACTACAGCTTTAAGGGAAAAAAATACTCTTAACTCTACATTTATGTACACTAGTACTCATTTCTCTGCAATTAATTGATATTAGGCATTAGAATTTTAAAACATTTTATTGTAAGAAGGTCAGAAAATGAAAGATTGTTGCCTGTTTGAGAAGAGGGAACATTTGTTGTTGTTGTTATGGTCCTTGTCAGGAAAGCAACACCAAAAGTCAGGAGCATGATTTTACAGCTTCCTTATTTTGATTCTGCCTGATTCTACAGTAAATATTCTTACTTCATAGCATTCATTCATAGAGAGGAAAAAAATTTAGTTCTGTAATACTTTTTTACTTGGTGTGAATGTTTCTGACAAAATACTGACATGTTAAGTAGAATAGTGGTAATTGTATAAAAACATGGTAGAATATATTTGTTTTCTCTTGAGAGTTTAAAAAAATAATAATTTAAGGTTTTTACCAGAATAAATTTTTTTTTCATTTTCTGGTTGCTGTACCCTAAAAGTATCTCAGTAATATTTAATTTATGATGGGAATAAAAACCAGTTTATTTTTGTTGCCTAATATTATGTTTCCATTTAAATTTCAGCACTAAAGCTTGACACTTGTTTTTTTAATTTGAACTTGAAAATATCCAAAATAATGTATCTTTGTCTTTTTTTTTAACTTTTCAGTCTGATTGTTTTCACTTGGAAGATTACTGCTAGTTAATGTATGTGTAGTGTTTGTAAAATCAGGTTTCTTTAGTGCTTCTATTTAATTTACAACCTTTTGTTTAACCTTCCAGTGTGTGAAATGTCATCCTAAAAATGGGGAAATGAGTCTGTATTCACTTATCATTTATATTTTCTAAATAGCAAATTCATTTGCATATTACTAGATTTATAGTCATGAGATGTATAATAAACACATAGAAAGTTTGGATCAAACTGGAATGTTGTCAAGCAAAAAAAAAAAAAAAAAAATTCATAACATTTCTGCCCTTTCAGTACCTTCCTCCAAATGGAAGGAAAGGGAGGTGGAGAAGGACAAAGGAAGACAGTTCTGTTTTATAGTTCTTGATGGAACCCTTGAGGATTTAGAGCCAAGGGAAATTGCCTTGTTTACGAATGGTTTCAGATTCCTCCTGAGCTATTTGGTTTCACCTATTTTGTTGCTGTTTTCTTTCATTTATGATATTCTTCCCATTGAATTAATGTTCTTCTGTATCAGAACATGTTAATAAATTAACTGAGTGTCATGGAGAGAAGACTGATTGTTTTGCCACAGGAAGGGAAGTTAATTAAAGATGACCAAAGAGGTAGTAATAAGGCTATTACATAGAGCTTATACATTTGAAGCTGTCTGACCATCAGAATAGAGCAGAACAAGCTGATTGTGTAACTCCTTAGAGCTTGCTTATTAGTTCTTCCATATACGTTAGTGTCTCAGTTGATCTTACAGCATTGATTTCAAGTGAAAACATTCATGTGTGCACATGTGTGTGTGTACATGTGTGTGTAGTAATACTAGTAGTATCTTCATTTTCCAAATTCAGAAATGGTTAGAAAGATTTAAGTAGCCAGTTAATATTTGTATGAGAATTTTAAAACTGTAGAGTTTGGGCACTAGAACTGTGACATTTCCAGACAATTATTGCCAGAATTTCAAGGATTTCTCAAGTCCAAATGTCTATTATATGCAGAACAGTTGGCCAGGCAGTATGGAAAAAAGGAAGGGAGGAAGCAAATTAATATTTGCTAACATCTACTAGTAGCTGACTTGTTAGATACTTTATATACATTAGCTTTCTCATTAAGATGATGATAATCTCATTTAACAGATGAGACAGTGAACTCAGAGGGGTCAAAATATACCTGTGGTCAATCAGTAGGAAATGGTAGATCCAAGGTTTAGACAACCAAAGTCTCTGCCTGCAAAATGAAATTTTAGGACAAAAGGATAGAATAAGTCTCTATATGTAAGACAGCATTTTGGAATCATGGGACTTTAACAGTTTAATGAATACAGAAAAATCTCCTGTTTCCTAAATGTGGACTCTAAGCCCTTTACTTGTTAACCACAATTCTTCTGATTCAACTAAAGGAACTGTTTCTTATTATATTTCTAAATGTTTTTATAAATACAAATATGAATGTGTTGACTTCTATCTTTAGGTAAAACCTAGAATTGAAGTCGAGTTAATGTTAAAAGTACTGCTACTAGCTTTCTACCTGTATGAGTTCCTTTAGTCAATTTGATTTTTATTTTTAACTGATGGAAGATTGCTTTACTATGATGTTTTGGTTTCTGCCATAAGCAGCACATTAAATCTATTCATGCTGCTTATGGCAGAAACCAACACATCATTGTGTATTTATATACCCTCTCTCTTGTGCCTCCCTCCACTCACTCCAACCCATCCCTCTAGGTCATCACAGAGCACCAGGCTGAGCTTCCTGTATTTATAGCAATTTCCCATTAACTCTTTTACACATAATAGTATGAATACACATGATAGTATCAATATATATACAAGACAACAGGTGTGGACACAAGTCTGTTCTGTACTAGGTTTTTCAGTACCATTTTTCTAGATTCCATATATATGTGTTAATATATGATACTTGTTTTTCTCTTTCTGGTTTACTTTACTCCATATAAGAGGCTCTAGGTTCATCCACCTCACTACAACTGACTCAAATTTGTTCCCTTTTATAGCTCAGGAATGTTTCATTGTATTTATGTACCACATCTTCTTTACCCATTCATCTGTCGATGGGTATCTAGCTTGCTTCCATGTTCTAGCTATATAAATATTATTGCAGTGAACATTGGGATACATGTGTCTTTTAGAATTGTGTTTTTCTCAGGGTATATGCCCAGTAATGGATTTGCTGGGACATATGGTAGATTTATTTATAGTTTTTTAAGGAATGTCCATACTGTTTCCCGTAATGCAGGAGCATTCCCTTTTCTCCACATTGTCTCCAACACTGATTGTAGATTTTTTGGTGATGACCATTCTGACTGGTGTGAGGTGATGCCTTATTGTAGTTTTGATGTGCATTTCTCTAATAATAAGTGATGTTGAGCATCTTTTCCTGTGTTTATTAGCCATCTCTAATATTTTCTTTGTGGAGTAATGTCTGTTTAGGTCTTCTGCCCATTTTTGATTGGGTTGTTAGTTTTTTTGATATTGAGCTGTATGAGCTGCTTATATATTTTGGAGACTAATCCTTTGTCAGTTGCTTCATTTGCAGTTAATTTCTCCCATTCTGAGAGTTATCTTTTCAGTTTGTTTATGGCTTTCTTTGGTGTGCAAAAGCTTTGAAGTTTTATTAGGTCTCATTTGTTTATTTTTGTTTGTTTTTTTTCCATTAATCAAGGAGGTGGGTCAGAGAGAATATTGCTGTGATTTATGTCAGAGAGTAGTGCCTATGTTTTCGTCTAAGAGCTTTCTAGTTTCTAGTCTTAACATTTAAGTCTTTAGTCCATTTTGAGTTTATTTTTGTGTGTGTTGTTAGAAAGTGTTCTAATTTTATTCTTTTACATGTAGCTGACCAGTTTTCCAGAACCACTTATTGAAGAGGTTTTCTTTTCTCCACTGTATATTTTTGCCTCCTTTGTCAAAAATAAGGTGCCCATCTGTACATGAGTTCATCCCTAGGATTTCTGTCTTATTTCATTGGTATATATTTCTGCTTTTGTGCCAGTACCATACTGTCTCAGATGACTGTAGCCTTCTAGTCTGAAGTCTGAAGTCAGGGAAGCTGATACCTCCCGCTTGGGTTTT